CGAGAAATATGAATTACATTTTTATATTTACTAGTAAATATATTTACTTTACAAAAGTAAATACTAAATAATTAATTTACTTTACTAAGGTAAATAGTAAATAGTTTCTTTACTTTACTAAAGTAAATAGTAAATATTTTATTTACTTTACCTTATTTACCTAAAGAAAAAGTAAAGCAAAAGTGCCACCACTAGTGCAGCACTGCTAGCATTGAATCTACTTTTTTTCTTTCGATTTTTGGTGTAGACGTTGGATTTGGAATATGTTTTTCGGTTTCTTTCGATTGTGGTAGAAATGAAGGTTGATGTACAAACGACTGTTGTGCGGATGACAAAGCAGGAATTGACATTAATGGTGATCGTTGGTCCTGTTGCAAAAGATGTCGAACAAGATTATGATTTTCTTGTAGAAGCCGTTCATTTTGAGCAAGAACTCGAACAATTTGATTCAGTAAACGATTAATAATCATATTTTGTTGCTCAGAAGACCCGGATCGACGATTTGATGTACCATTTTTAAAATTTTCAAAAATCATCCAGAGGGTTTTCCAGAGACCGGATCTTCAGAAAACCTTCTCAACAATCAGACTTTTTGACAATGGTCTAGAACGATAGCGAATTGAATTATGAACAAAGTGAGATATTTTCGAGCTTTTTGCGACTTCTCGATCAAGAGAAAGGTCCAAAAAACTAAAAAAGATGGTTAATAAAAAATCTCGAATTCGGTTTTTTAGTTTTTTGGACCTTTCTCTTGACGGAGAAGTCGCAGAAGGCTCGAAAACATCTCACTTAGTTTTTTTTCTTCTATAAATTACTTTTTATTAACTCTTATACATAACATATCAAAGTAATATAACTGTCATAGTTAATTATAGGTAACATGTATATTTGGTCTTATCACTGCTAATATGGTCTTAAACAAACAGTAAGAAGGTTTTTGTACTATCGTTGTCATAGTAGAACGGAACAAAAAGTGACACGTTCATCTCCTTCTTAACGGCAATAACACTATAATGTTTCGACGCGGACCAAAACTCATTTCACACTCTTCTCATTTGTGCTAAGAGAACTCATTTACTAAATCCGTTCTATATATTTTGAGTGATGGTACTCCAACTTCTTTTTTAAAATGTTTAGTTATGATTAATGCAACAAAATGCAATGCGTTACTTTCCTTTTTTCTACTTGGTATCAATTATAATCACGAAATTACCAACTGTTTTTGTTTTTGTTTCTCTTGCTGTCTTTACCCTGGTAAACCGAATCAAAGAACATATTCCCCGAATCATAAAAGCTGATGTGAATCTATATTTATAATATATTGCCAAAATAAAACTTGAGATTACAGAAAACAAAATGAGTTGCTGATGACTTTTGTCCCGTTCAACATTGCCCTGTTAGAATACTGATCGTATTTTCACCGTTATTAAGGACAACCAAATCTTGCTTATTATCACCATTGAAATCATTGTTGGCTAAACTGATCGGTGACAATCCCGTTGGATAGATTTCACAGGTTAAAAATGTGCCATCACCCACACCTTGACATATACTTACTGACGACCCACTGTTGTTTGTTGTTATCAGATCTTGAACATTATCCTGATTAACATCAACGACAATTAATTGTGT